CGCGGCGGGGCAGGTTCCTCTTGCCCTGCAGCTCCTGCGTGAGCACATCATCCCCACCCACGCCACCCTCCACCCCCCGGCGCTGGAGGCCCTTTTGGAGTGCGTCCTCGCCCACAACCGCGCCATCCACGCCGTACAGCTTTCGATCGGACGGGGGGAGGCCCCCCTTCCCTACGCCAAGACGGACAGGGCCGCGGCCCAGCAGGAGATGGGGCGTCTCGGTCTGCAACTGGTGCACTGGAAGTCCGCACTGAGCTGGTCCACGGACTTGGCCGCGGCGGCGTCGGAAAGCCGCATCGTGGCGACAGGCACTGGGGCCTCTCCGGGCGCTGTCTCCCGTCGGCCCGCGGTCATCCTGCCAATGGAACCCCCGCTCTCGGCGCGGATGTTGAGTATCCTACTTAACATTTGCGTGGACGCTTGTAGTCCAGAAGGCGCCTTGTATTGCATGGGCTACGCCCGTAAAGTGGGTGGGGTTGAATTGGTCCTTTCGGAGGAAATCCAAGCGTTACTCTACTGCATGATGTACAATCGACCATACGAAGCGGAAGCCCTGGTTACGCATGCAGAAAAAAAGCATGGTGGAGTTGCGGCGGCCCCTTTGCGACGGCTATTGACTATTGCACAGTCTGCTAAAGAACGACAATCTTATGAGTCGTTTTGAAGGTGGAACTTTTTTTCGTTTTTTTTCTTTAAGGCAGATACCTCATACCAATGCGTTTGAAAAAATGGTTTTGTGCTCCAAATTATTCTTTCTTAGAGAGAGGTTCGGCAAAGTTGCAATCCATCTAATAAGGAAAAATTAAAGCAATTTATGATACTGAAGTCTTCTTTCTTTTTATTATTTTAACTTTATATTACACGTTGAAGGAGGAAGAGGAAGATACACCCATTAAATTATACCAATTAAGCATAGTTCTCTATTATTAGTTTGAAGGATGTCGAAGGAATTGCTACAGAAGACGTTTAAGATTAGTTCGGATGAGAAGTGGGACCATTCGTTCGAAAACTTAATTCGAAAAGCCTCTATTGGGTTTTCCATAGGTATCTTGCCGTCTTTATTCCTAGGGAAGTCTACCGCCGCGCGTGGTGCCATTATTGCTTTGTGCATAGGTGTTGGATGTGGAGTAGCGTACAATGAGGCTCACTATCTTTTTGATTATGATATCGCATTTGACAGGCGTAACATTATTCAAATACAATTATCCAATATAAAAGACTTTCGGAGTTCGAAATAAGGATAATAGAACGACAAAAAAAAAGAGTATTGTTCTCTTCTAGTTCCACATATTAGATGAAAGATTTTCCTGTGGTACATTCTAACGTTTTTGTATTATTTATTGCTACTACGGCCTTTTATGCTCAGCCACGTCAAGAATATATTGTGGCTTCAAATACATATTAAAAGCATTTAGGAACTTTGGCCTATAATACAAAATGAATAAATCGGAGCACTAGTGTAGTTTATGATGATGATGAATTGAACCTTTTCTGTCGCTTCATAAATTATTTTTTAGTAGAGTTTGTTGTTGTTTTGAGTGTGTGCACAGGTTGTGGTAGTTTTCGACAAAAGTAGATAACAACTGTAAATAACATTTGTGTAACTTTTAGCTTCTTTATTTTAGGTAACACCTTTCAGAAAGTTAATACACACTTTTAAGTATAAGCTACATAAAATGTCCGTCTCCCATGGCATGCTGATCTATAACAATGACATCACCCCAGATAGCCTGGTTGACATGAAGGGAGACTGCAAGATATTCGAGCACGTTTCAAGTACCATGGCGAACTCGTCACTTTTTAAGCTTGATAAAGAGGATCACACCATCGCAAACCTCCTGCGCATGAAACTTCACGAGTCGCCCTTCGTACAGATCGCAGGCTACCGGGTGCCTCACCCAACCCAACACCGCGTCGAGCTTCGGGTGCAGACCTCGTCGGATTGCAGTGGCAGGCCAGTGCCGACGCCGAAAGAAGCACTCTATACTGCTATTGACGGTTGTCTGCTTGACTTGCAGACATTTGAGGAACAGCTTCGAGCGGATGCGCAAGCAAAAGGGTTGGAATTGGAGGAAATGGATTTACATTAAGCCGCAAATCATTAAAAATTCGATATATTGTTTGACTGCAAAGATTCGTCAATGTTAGTATGGATTTGGTCACCTTTAGCCTTTAACTTCATTTCCTTTCTTTTTTTTTCAGATACAAAATAAGAAATTAATACTTAATATTACCTATAAAGAAACAAAGGGAAATAACACACAAGAAAAAGAAGGAGTTAAAAATAATGGTAAAAGAGAGCTATTCTGATGCGAGTAGTTTTCCGATGGGTCAAGGCAGCACAAATTGTTCTGTTGGCTTGGCATCGAATAAATTTTCATTTGAAAATGAAATATCGACACTCCTTGAATTGTTTCACAGGCAAATTACCCTAGATAAAACTTCAAAAAATGAGAAAACACATAAACAAAATTCTTCTGAGCGATCAATGGAGTCCTCCTCAAATAATTTTGATCTCGATTATATTATAAATAAACAAGTCAGCTCCTTTGCTATTCCATCCTTTTCGGTTACATCTTTAACAATCGTTTGGGTCGTTAACCTCCTTGTCTGCTTGTTATGTTTTATCCTGGCTGAAATTTATCAAGAATACCTGGACCCATTTCCGCTAATTTTACTTGTTATCTTGGGTTGTCATCTTATCACAATGAATAACTTTTTCCCATATGTGTTGGGTCGCTATCGGTACGGTTCCCACCACTATCAACTCTACCAACCTTTCAAGGGAGGTCACAAGTTCATAATTCTCCAGTTTTTCGGCATTTTCTGTGTATTATTTTCTCTGTCAGTCGCGTTTTTCCACACCCTCTTCCTCTTATCCTTATCTTCGCACAAAAATGTGCATCACGGGCTCTATACAATAGTAATTGTATTCGGTATCGCTGGCAACATCCTTCTTTACCGCTCGCTTCATTATTTCCAACCGCATAAGAAACGAAACGTGTCGACGCACAGTGACACCAACGACGCAAATCCCATCTTCAATGAAACTTTCCCCACACCGGAAAGCTTTTTAGAGATACTATACACCGGCCCCAACCGTGAGTCTGGGTTAGTGGTAATATTTGTCATCGCTCAATATTTTGTGAGTGTTTTGGTTGTGTTTCTACCCGATATTGCGACTATTGTCGGTGTTTGTTGTTTTCTTGCTCAGCTACTTAGTGGTGTTCTCATTCATTTTACCATCGGCCGCGCACATCGACCAGGTTATGGCTTTGGAGCCTTGCGGCTTCGACGCGGCGCGGATACCATCGGGTTCTGGACAGCACGAGCCCTCTATATCGGCTCATTAGCCACGAATGTCGCTCTCCTGATGAATTCAACAATAATACATAAAATACCTTTTATTTGTGTGTGTGTAGCATCTCTTAATGGGTTTAGTAGCATTATTTTCTTTTTTTTCGTGCGTACTGCTTCTTTTAGCGCTACTGGCGTCACACCATCCGAATCCATCTTTCATTTATATGGAACCGTGCTGAATGTTGCAACTTATCTGTTAGGGGCTTCTTATGTCATGCTAACATTTTACATAACGCTCTACGAGGCTGAGTTGAACAACTCGAAGGTAGGGCAAAACATAAAGGAAATTTTACATTTCTGCTTGCAGTTGATCCTTGCTTTCTCACTTTTTATGGCTCCAATTACTCAGGCCTGTGGGTGTGCCATTCACAATGTGGATTTTGCTATTCTCTGTAGTTTTCAAGTTAAGCCGGCGTTTCTATCCATTCAATGGGGAATTTGGCTCCTCTATCTATCGGAATTCCTAGCTACCGCGTTGTTTCTTTTCACAGGCACCCATTTTTTCGGTCTTATTGCGTGCATTAGCTCGGCGTTCACTGTCACTTGCATTACTTACTCGGCACGCATATACAATTCAGAGCCAGATCGATCACTCTGGGTCGATAGCACTGATTTGACCACCAATTTGAATGATACAACTCAAGGCCACTGTGATACTCAAAGTTATTCCCTTGATAACGCTTCTAAACAACAGAAATTAGAATCTGATCTGGCATTTGCTAAGCTGCGCTCTCTGTTTCTTAATAGTGAAGAATATAGTCAATACGAGGGCTTCAGGAGCCTTGAATTGAGTTCCCTCTTTAATACTGGAATGATTTATGCGTATATATGCGCCCTCACGTCCTTCATGCTATGCTTCGTTATTGATCTTTCAGAACGCTATATGTGTTTTGATGCAGCCATTCCGCGCTCAAAGGTACTTCTCCTTGGGTGTCTCTTTATCGGTGTGAGTGTACCGCTTGCCAACTTTTCCGCACAGAACAAGGATATTCAAGTGCATAACCCATTATCCGCTAACTCAAGGTATGTAGTACTGTATGTGCTAAGCTGGACTTTACACGTTTTCAATATCCTGGGAAATCTTTTTTTAATTAACCACTTCCAAAAGGAGGGCTACTCGATGGCATTGATATCTCACACCATTCGGGGTTTGTTGCAGTTCATTCCTCTTATACTTATTACCATTTTCATCGCTATGAAACACAAAAACGATCTTCAGAATCGACAACACCGCTGGATCAGTATTCGAGCTTTGCAAACGTTGAATTTGATCTTCAGCAAAATGCTAGCGAGAGTAGAAAGAAAAGAAGACAAGGATACCTTACAAATACTGTTTTCCGCCGTTGCAGAGCCAGTTTTGCAGATGTTTGGAGGGTTGGACTCGCCCGATATGTTACACCTTTGTTTGCCCACGCAAATGCGTTTCGGTAGTAAGGAGGATGTCCAGGAATCCCAAAAGGCACCTTTCCAGCCCTTTTTTGGTTGCACTAAAAAAACGCTACAACGCTCTTAGCTTCCTCAGTAAAACATGCCAATATCTGGAAAATGACCGAAAACACACGCCCCATCCTCAACTCATACGAGCGTCACCGTCAGCACAAGGATATAGCTATTGTCATTATGCTTCTTTCCATTTCCTCAATGTTTTTTTTCGTGATTGGTTCAATTCCCAACTCCCATGACGTCTTTCGGATAGGCTGTGCAGTACTCGGCTTAGTTATTTGTACAGGATCGTGTTTGGGGATTCACATAGGCTACGGCACCTTAGCAAACGGAGACAACCCCAACTACGCCGTTTTTATGCCCTTCAGAGGTGGAATAGCCTTCGTTTCTTATCAGTGTGTGGGTTGGACTGCCTATGCCTTGGCCCTTCTGCTGACGCTGGTCGCAAATGAGGTGCCAGAAGCGCTGGGAAGAGGGGGGATGATGCTAGCCGCGGCTCTTTCCGGAATTGCTCAAGTTGCCCTATTCAAATCCATCCCCAAGTACAGTCCCAAACTGACGAAACGCTTTTTAGAGCAAAATGGCGAAGCTGCAGTTGCGGTTCTGGTCTTTTGCTCCACGTTTGCTTTAAATCGTCTCCACATGTTTTTCCAATCCTATCTAAAAGATTGGTCGCATGTCCAGATGAATGGTAAATTTTACACCAGAAGTTTGCTGTACCTGACCAACATCGGCGTTTTGCTCGCGGTGCCGCTGATTTTGATAGCGATGGGCCGCACTACGCAGCAGTGGCGTCGTATCCGGACCCGAATGACCCATCAACCTTCGAGCGAAGCGAACGATCCCAAGAATAAACAAGGTACCCATGCCGACTCCGACGCTCAGGACGACCTCAAAAGGATCTGGATTACCATTATCACGAATACTCTTGAAATCGTGACGATCATCCTGACGATGACTGCGCCTTTTCTTACACTTTTTTTCTTACATTACGTATTTTCTAATTACACATCTCCGCTTCTCAATGCGGTGAGTTATTACCTACCCTTCATGTTTTGGGTGGCCGTCGGAACTTTGCTAATTTCCGCGGTTCCCTACATGGATGATGTGGAAGTCCCACTGATGATTCTGAAGCTGCGCCCCACACTCTTCACATTTGCAGTCTACAGTCTACCGTTATGCATGCCCATAATTTTTATCATGCCAGTGGTGTTTTTCCCTCGCTTAAGTACAGCTTTTAATTTGTTCACCTTCTTCGCTTTCGCGGTCGGGAGCATCTATAAACAGGTCCGTTGGGCAATCAGGGTTGCTATCTATGCAATAATAGGATATCTAACCTACTGGGAGATTGTCCGATGCCTTGATAAGTTTAAGGAGCGACACTTGGATATAGGGATTTCGGCGATGTCTAGGCTTCGAGTAAACATATTCGATCTATTGATCATGGGCGCCTGGATTCTGTATATCCCTTTATACAGCGGTAAGCCCTATCACACAGGATTGTATCGTAGTCCATGGTTCAGTAAGTTCATGAAACGTCATGTCTTTTCCGAGTTCGCAAAGTATTTCAATTTTCAACTGATCTTGGACTCTCCGAGGGTGAATATGCGCGACAGTTCCAACAAATACCTGTTCTCGTACCACCCCCATGGTGTGTTCTCTGGAACTGCACTTTTTGCCCCGTTTAGCGACGTGTGGGAGGAAAAGGTGGGTTTGAACGCTAAAACCTGTGCTGTTACACACTGTGCAAATGTGGTATTTAGTATACCGCTTATTCGCGATTTTAACTTAGGCCTAAACGCGCTATCAGTCAGTCGGAGCACCATCGAGGCAAGCCTGGATCGTGGCAATAGCGCGATCATCGTCACGGGTGGTCAATCCGAGATGCTTCGAACCATTAGCACCGACCAATTCCTCGAGTTGGTGACATATCACATTGGCTTTGTACGTTTGGCGATCAAAAAGCGTGTGCCACTAGTACCACTATTGAGCTTTGGTGAGAACAACATCTTGAGCATCCTCCACTTTCCACGGCTTCAGAGACTCACACTGAAATACCTTGGATTTCCTTTTCCAATGATGTTTTACGGACGTTTTCTGCTACCCCTACCACGAAAGATCCCTTTGACCTTAGTTGTAGGCTCGCCTATGGATATTCCAGCTGACGCTAATCCAGAGAACGAGGAACATGTGAAAAGCCTAGCTGAAACCTACTTTCAGGAGGTCGAAAGGCTCTTTTATCGTCATCGTGTAGAAGCAGGCTATCCCAAAATGGAGCTGCGTTTGATTAATAGGAAATAAAAAAGAACAAGTATGCAGGCTGAATCCTATGTGAAAAATCACTAGTGACAGTTTAAGAACCGTAACATATATAAAAGAGCGATCAATGGGCTTAAATAGGATAGGGACCTCTGATCCATCACGAAGGAAATTGGTCGCGAAGTTGACTTTATCCTGTCCATTTTATGCTTATCCTTTTTCTTTCTAGAAACGCTTGGGTACCTGGAAAGGGTAAAGGGAGCCAAGTTGTGCCTATTTCCATCTATTCATTTCTTATAAGTCTACTAGTGACATATTAATGTTATTATTACTATTTTATTTCATATATTTATACACTGACCTAGTTATACATGTGCATCAGTATGAAGAGAATGCATAACTATTTATTACTAGTCCTTATTAGGGTTCTAAAGTCTAGACTCATCATTTCTCTAACTCAGATTCCTTTTCTACATGGGCGCTCTGATCAATGCATCATGCTAATTCGTGTATTGTATCGTTTCTTATTTATTTCAACGTATAAAATAAGGAAACGAAAAGCTGAGAATTTATTACTGCTACAAGCTTACAAATTGTCTACACTTACTAAAATTAATAAGTTTTTTCCTATATTTTTGATAATACGTTAATCTTCAGAATTGAAGATTCAATAGCACGGCATGTTAATAATACGGGCTACTCTTATGACAAGGCGAACCATCCCTTTATATAGTACAATTTCAACGCATGTTATCTAGAAAAAAAAAGAATTTTTTAGTTCTACATACCTACTCTAGAATATCTAAAGGAAATAATCTATATTAGTTTGGAAATCTACGGCTGTATAAACATCGCAAAGAAAAAAAACAGCGTTGTTACTGAGGTGCCATGAGTGGGGGTAAACAGATACGGGCGAAATGCTTCGAAATGCGGTATCTCTTTTGATACGGAGAAAACATAACCAAAAGGCCTGGTCTCCACAAGCCACCAGCACAGGGGCCGCACCACCCACCGGCATCACAACTCAGGAAGCGCTCCAAATTGTCTATCGTCCAATGCCTCCCGATCGGACTGTCGAATACGAAGAAGACTTCGGTACAAACTTGATGATTCATCGCGAGTTTATCTCCAAGCGGCACCGTGATCAAATGAGCTTTGACTTGGCGCCGATGGCCTACAGCGATGTTGAGCTTCGACAAGGGCAGAAACATCTAGCGGGTATTATGAACAAAGAACGGAACGCGGTGGCCATTGGCATGTCAGGTAAAGAAAATGACAGAGTTCCTTTTAACGTGGAGATTGACTCCCAAACCCACGAGCTCCATAGTGCGCGATATTTTTTCAACGAAAATCGCATGCGCTATTGTGATCGCTTTCAGGAATTTTTCCACTCCATGCTTACCAAAAGACAAGGCGAGGATGGTGGAAATGTTCAGTTTCTCTTTTCTCTTATGGAGGCATGTGCAATTATATACGGCTGTGATACACACGACGCACGCGAAGTGTACTACCAGGGGTTCGGCTCCATGGATTTGGACTCATTGGCGAAGGATGAGCAACAACTGCAGGAGCGCCAGCAGAGCGCAGTCGACGTCAAACATGATTTGCACGAAACCAACTCAGGCCACAACATAGCAGTATCATTTAAGGTCGTCCAAAAAACTATTGATTCGTTGCCACACCTTTTTGAGGATGAACCCGAAACAAAAGGTGAGAAAATTGAAAGCCAGCGTATGTTAAAGACAGACGGCGGTATTCATGTAAAGGTTGCGGTAAAAAATAAAACACCACCCTGGAATAATTTGCAGGAAAAAGAAGGTTCTACTGAAACTTACCATGATACTATACCCGAGAACTACGCCCCACTTTATAAAGCATATCTTGACCATGCCCGCGGTGATTTTCCAATCGCGTCTTACGACATTTCTACGTTAGCCTCTAGCGAATCTCTGATTCGGAGGCGGCGCTGGCGGCACCTTATAGAAAAGCTTGTGGGAGAAGACTATCTGAACATCTCGGATGAAGAATTTCAGGATGCGGCGCTACTCAATGAACAGCTGCACACCATCAAGTTTATGGATTTGAAGGTTGGTGATGCCGTAAGAGAAATTATGGCGCTGTTGCAGCGCGGGACAGGTGATGGTGGATCTTCACACCGAAATGCCCCATTGGAGCAGTTGCCGTCTAACCCAGAAGGACGTTTGTAAGATAAATTGCCTACAAAAAAGAGGGAATAGTATCAGTTGTTGAGATGTGTTTTGTCTTTATTCAACACATCGGTTGTGTTTCATACACAAAAAAGACTTGCCTATATTTTCCCACTCAGAAGCCTTAAACTGACAGGGTGTGGGAGGCGCATTGAACAGGGATTTTAAAGGGCATCCCTCACACCCCTCTCCTAAATGTGGCTAGGCTGTGGGAAAGAACCCCTCAAAAAAGAACGACCCAAATTATTTGATCGTGTGGATTGTCATACAATGAATGTGCATTCTTTCTGCTATTATCCCTCTTTTGCCTTGTGTATTGGTTGTTGTGTTGAACACAGCAAAGGAATTACCTTTACACAAAAACTCATCGTTTTATACTCTCAAAGTTTAAGCCATTCTTATCACAGCTGTCTACTTTTAAGTATAACAAAAATATACCAACAGTGTTATCCCAATTCCGAAAACAAAATGAACGTACCGCGCGACAATAAGAACGACTCACCGTCTTCGGAAACTGTTTTCTCGCCCGTGAAACCAATAGTCTGTGATGATGCAGGGTTTGGCTCACCTTCCGAGACCTCCCCAAGTTATGATAATGTCGCCTTTGGGGGTACTCATACCTACAAACCCTCCAATCGCTTTTTCGCCTTCATGAACCGTTTGGTCCCGCACGGCGGCACTATATCAAACTCGTATAACCTGGCCGCCGTATGCATTGGCTCCGGTATTTTATCTCTGCCAGCGTCCTTTCAGGCCACCGGCATCGTCGTTGCCATAGTGATTCTCGTCTTGGTCACTGTATCGACCGCATACTCCACATATATCCTGGGACAAGCGGCGGAGAAGTCGAAATATAGCCTCTACACCTACGAGCTTCTTTCCAAAGGTCTCCTCGGACACAATTGTGACATTTTGGCGGCTTTTATTATGTGGATGTTCTGCTTCGGCGCATGTGTGTCATACGTCATCTCCGTGGGTGATATCATCGAAAATATTACCCAAAACAGCAACTCTGGCTCGTTTTTGGTCACCATATGGGGCAATCGACTTCTTGTGTTCATCGTGTGGGCCTGCCTGATGTTGCCGCTAGCCATCCCAAAGGAAATCAACAGTCTGCGCTACGCCTCGGTCTTCAGCGTGCTCGCCATGGTATATTTTGTTTTTGTTATCGTCATCCACGCTAGCACCAATGCCTTCAAGGACGGCAAACTGAAGAACAAAGTGTCCATGTTTAAGTGGGGGAACGACGCCGCCTCTGGTGTCGGCACCTTCATTTTTTCCTTTGTTTGTCAAACCAACACGTTCGAAGTGTTGCGCGAGATGACCAACCCGACGCCAGCTCGGCTGACAATAGACACGACGCTCAGCATGAGCGCGTGCTGTCTGCTCTACATCATCTCGGGCCTCTTTGGATATCTGGATTTCGGTGAGTATATCAATGACTCAATTTTGCTGTTCTACAATGCTAAACAGGAGCCCATGGTATTTTTGTCATACTTTTTTATCGGCCTCAAGTTGTGTGTGAGCTTTGGTCTGTGTATCCTTCCTTCGCGCGACAGCCTGTACTACTGCCTTTCCAAGAAGTACCCCACGTTTAAGAGCATCCACACGGTTCCATTTTGGTTGAACGCGTCCATCTGCGTTGCCATGTCCACCCTGGCGCTGCTACTTGGAGTTACTGGGATCCAAATTAATGTGGTTTTTAACTTGATCGGTGGCTTTTGCGGTGGGTTTATCGGGTTCATCTTTCCAGCACTTTTTATAATGTATTGCGGGGGGTGGACTCTGAAAAAGGTGGGCTGGTTTCACTACCTTAGCACCTATCTTTTGTTAATCTTTGGCGTTCTGGCCGTCGTTCTTGGTACCGGGACCACTATTTACTCCATGGTCCCTTGAGCACTTCATACTTTCCATAACACATTGATATCTGTTAAAATTTATTTTAATTTTGTGAAAATTTCCATAGCTTCATCATCCTCAATTTTACAAGCTTTTAGGAATTCAAACCGAAAATATTTTGAAAAGTTAAAAAGGAAAATTGGGGACATACCCGCCTTATCAGTGAATAATTTATTTTCATCATTTTTATTCGTGTTGTATTCACTTTGAATTGATTCTTTATTTTATTAATAGACCGAAGTGATTTTCCTTTTTTGTCTGTGGAGGTAATAAATTATGCACTTTTTTTTAGAGGAGGGTCTTTGTGTTTGTGTTTGTAGTAATTATATTTTGGTTGAGTTTATCATTTTATCATATGGTACACAAAGAGATCTTATTACGTTTGGTCTACAGAATGATCCTTTCCAGATTGATTTTGAAGTCCTTGATGTTCACCCGTACGGAAATAAAAAATGGTACTTGAACAACCCCGAGAGTGTGGTACTCTCTTCGTGTTTTTTTTTACTCCCCCCACCTTTTTCCTCTCTTCTTTATTTAATTTTGTTTCTACTATTATTGTTCAAATATATAATATGGGGTGATTCATGTCTAGCAATTGTAGATATTTATTTGCACAGTGATTCTATCCACTATTTATTATATTGTTTTACTTTCTCTTCATAATTTTTTTTGGTGAAAATAACCACGAGATAATGTCAGTGTATATTTTGTTGCGTCTCTAAATTTTATTTCATAATACTAAAGTGGGATATAAAATATGCGAAAATATATGCTTTCGAGAGGATTGAACAAGTTAAAGTCTTATTTTACTTCATTAGCATTTGTACACGCCACGTTTACCATATGGTATATAATTAAAGTAGTAATAAGAGAAAAAGAGAATAAAAATCGATAAAAATATTATATAAATTTAGACCTATGCATGATACCATGGCTGTTAACATTCTGTAGGAGTGGATAAATCAGCTTTCAAGAGGGACCGATTGAGTATTCCGATGTGATATGGCTACTCTTATAACTTGATTTTCTTTTCATAATTTCACGGCTCTACTTCTACGTCGGTAGTATTACACTAGTTTTTTGGTTTTGTGAAGTGATTTCCTACTAATCTAACCGATGTTCCCTATGATGCAAGGACCACAGGCTCTGCCTGACCAAGTCGCATACCCGATGTTTTGGAGGAATCTCACCCGCTTCTTGGCGGTGTCCACGGCCACCATTGGCCTTTCCCTCGCTATTCGCCACTGTGAGCAACACACACACACAATGCTAATATCAAGTCTCTAAGGAGCACGTAATTTCGGTTTAACTAGTAAATAGAACCTAGTTATGTTGCTTTAGATTGTCGCCGTCCTGGCTCACTGTATTTTCGAGACGCGTTTTCACCCTTTTGGTTCCTTGGATCGCTTTCGTTAGTTCCTAATCTCAAATACCGGTATGTCGCTGCCGTAATAAACCGATCGAGGAGTTTGCTGTAACAACTTGGTCTGTGAAATTCCATTAGCGCTCCACCGTTTCATTGAATCGTAATTTTGTTACGAGACGTACTTCTCACCATATTTCATTCATACTCCATCCTTTTTCGTATAAAGTACCTTGTTTTGAAGATTAATTTTATTAAATATAATAGAGATTATTAAGAGACAGTTCGGATACTCGTCGTGCGCCTTTTTTTTTTTAGTTACACTAATACAAAAGTTGTGTGAGAGGAAAGACCGGAATTTTACCCTCCAGCCTGTGCAGCTGTCTCGAGTTTTGAGCTGCGCATTTGTTATTTGGGGGGGGGGGGGTTGTGTGTGTGTATGGCCGCTAA